TTTTCTCATATTAATTTTCTTTTTTCAATGCAAAAAAAACTTTTGGTTTAACTAAAAGGGTAAGTTTTTCTAACAAACAACTTGCCGGGTTAGCTGATGAAATAACAAAATTTAATCCCCTACAGTTTATTAAAATAAGACAAAATGAACCTCTCGCTGCTCCTCGCCGTGTCTTGATCTGATCACAAATCCGCTCAACATTTAGAGATGCTGGGTTTTCGATTAGTTATGAAAAACTTTTTCCAATGGTATGCCGATAAAAAATCTCTAAGTGAGCCTAGTTGCTGAGATAAGCTTTTTTTAAAGAAAAAGGACACACCGCAAATATCAGAAAAAGTAACAAAAAAATAAGCTCACGCTTAAATGACTTAATAAACATTTGTAACCTCAAGTTCTATGAGTTAACTAATTAACGAAATAATTAACGTTCCGATCAGTTGAATCGTTACGTTTTAAGAACTATAAAAAGTTCTCAATGTGTTTTTTCCCGCAATTTTCGGCTTTTAACTGTTCTTTTTGAAAGATGATTTCAAAAGTTGATTGAAAATAGTCGTAAGCAATTGAGTTTTTAGGCCTCATTTGACCCCGCTAGAAATGATTCAAAAATGAAACATCAAACATTAGCGTAACTAACACTAAAAAAAGCAAAAATTACAACCAATTACATGAAAATCAAAAAATTCATCTTATAGTAATTAATGTGTTAGACTAAACTTTACAGATGGAGGATCAAAACCGCAGCGCACAAAAAGAAAGCTTAACTGCTAAAAGTGGTTTATTTTTTTTTAATTTACAAAAGCCTGAAAAATAAGTTAAATCTTAAAAAAACTTAATAAACAGTTGTAACCTAACGTTCTATGAATTAACTAATTAACGTACTAATTAGCGAACTAATAAAAGTTCTGTTCAGTTGTGTCGTTGCATTCTAATAAGTTTCTCAATGTGTTTTTACGCAAGTTTTGACTTTTTAACTATTCCTGTTGAAATATGAATGAAAATAGCCATAAGCATTTGAGCCATAAGCATAAGCACAATAGCCATAAGCATAAGCATTTTTAGGCCTTGATCATTTGACCCCGCAAGAAATGATTCATCTTTGAAACATCCAACATTAGCGTAACTAACACTAAACAAAGCAAAAATGAAAACCGATTACATGAAAATCAAAAAAGTCATAGGATTGTAATTGATGTGTTAGACTCAAACTCTAGAGAATAAGGACCAACACCGCAGCGCCACAAAATTTTTTTAAACATGTTAAAAGAAAACATTGAAGACAGAAATAGAGCCTATTTGCTAAAATAAGCTTTTTAAAATAAAAAGAATCTACAAAAGTCAGTAAAGTAACTCAGGAAAAACAAGGTCAAGTTTATGTGACCTAATAAACAGTTGTAACCTTACGTTCTATGAATTAACTAATTAACTAACAATTTAACGTTCTGATCAATTGAATCATTGCGTTCTACAAAACTATAGAAATTTCTCAATGTGTTTTTAGGCAAAGTTCGACTTTGTAACTATTGCTTCTGAAAGGTGATTTGAACATTTAACATTAAAAAATCTGTAAGCAAACTTTGGAAAACAACTGTGAAATTTTTTCGAGTTTTTTTTTATTTCTTGAGAAACGAGCAATTGCTTAGCACTTCAAATTCAAAACTTTCAAGATTTCGCCTTGAAACAAGCAATCATTTATATCGTTTTCAAATCTTTTTTCATTTTTTGTGGCTGCATTTTGAAAACAAAACACATCTATGAAGTTTATCACGCCAGTAACATAACTGAGGCTTATGAATTTATACAAAAAGAAAATTGGACGTCCGTAGGAAAAGAAATTAAAAAAAAAGAGTATATGATCACATAACTGATCAACGTTTTTCTTGTAAGGTAACTATAAAACATTAAATCGACAAAGTGAACTACACATTTTAAAATTACAAATCTGACAACTGTGACATTAATAACCAGATTTTTGTTTGGACAACCAGTATTTTCTCAAACAAGTTTAATTTATGTCTGTAAACAAACTTCGCGCAATTTGCACGCGAGTTATTTTCTAAATTCCGTTATTTTCTGATCGCCTAATTTGCTTGTCATCTAGTATCCTAAACCCTAACAAAACACTAATGATATTACATTACCCTCAAAACAGCGTTCACATTGAATACGGCGATGAAGTTGTTAGCCTTCACGTTAATTATCATGCGTTAATTATTTTTGAAATGTAAAAAAACGATGTAGCAAAACACCCATGATGCAGCAAAAATTTTGTTTATCCTACTTCAAACTACAATTTTTGCCGCGTAAAAAGTGCATTGAGCTTATATGGCTCGAACAAAACATTGACCTAACTTGTATTATTAATTCAAATTTTGGTTTACTGCTGTCTCGAATCATTGTGCCACTTTTTGCCTTTTTGCCAAAGCCGAGCCCAAAACTTTTCCGCGTTTAGAATCAAAGCTGTTATTAATATAAAACAAAAACCAGGCTCTAGAACTGCGCAATATAACCGGCTAACATGCAAATCGTTACACCGTCGTCAAAGACTACTTGTTCAATACTCATAATAATACTGTATCGAAATTGTATAGATTCAAAACTATGGAAAAATTTATAAAATGTCCAAGAAATCGATTAGCGATATAATTTTATCAGGCGTAGAGCGAATCTCCTTCCCCATCCAACCACCTCCAATGTACAATGTAATTTAAATGAGTCGGTTTTTAAAAGCAGATCACCAGACAACTGGAAAAAAAACAAACCAACTGAAAAATTTTCTAAAAATGGATATCTATTTCTACAGTAACAACCCAGTTATTTTTACTTCTGGGCTGCGCTTTCATTAAGCAAAATATTAGCGACATAAAAATTAATTGACATAACTTTTAAGTTGAAAATTATTTTGCAAGTTTCTTTGGTGGGTGATCATAGTTAACTGTATCGTAAACTCTTATTTTTTTCAATTTCAATCGGGAGTGGTTTTTATATGTTTTGAGGTAAAGAATTAGGCTTATCATACAAAATCGTGTAGCTGTTCAGGCATAATTTATTGTCTCCTCGATTAGTATGTAACAGTTTTTTAGAAATCAGTTTTCTTGCTGCAAATCAATGATTCAACCTCAAGCGTGTGTATAAAATAATAGTCGCAAACGAAACAAACCCAGACCACACTGTCGACAAAAAAAATCTGAAAAAATAGACTAGATGAAAATAGTCATGAGCATTTAGGCCTTGATCATTTGACCCCGCCAGAAATGGTTCATCTTTAAAACAGCAAACATTAGCGTAACTAACACTAAATAAACGCAAAAAAAAAACGATAAAATTAAAATCGAAAGATTCTTAGTATAGTGTTTAATGTGTTAGACTCAAACTCTAGAGATTAAGGATCAACATTGCAGCGGCACAAAAAAAATTATTGAGGCTGAATGGGATTAATCTACGTTACAAAAAACGGCTCAAAATACAAGAGCAGGGCTAGGGGAGAGGAAAATGAACACAAAGTAGGTATCCAAAAATTAGCCAGTTTCAATTTGAGTTTCATTGCTCGCCAATAATGAATAAAGTGAAAACACAAATACAAATCAATTTAAATTTTTTAAGCAAAGTTTTAACGTTATTTAGCATGCTCTTGACTTCTTAATGAGGTTTGAAAAAACCAGTCATTTAAGTTTCCTAATTCTACAAATTTGTTGTTACACCCTTTTACAGCGCTTTTGATGCCGGGAAGGTAATTTTTTACTCGTTTATGGAAATTCTTTTGCTCTATGCTTCAGCTGCAACTGTTTTTCATAATACCAAACTAATTAACTAAGTCTGAAGCTCAGGCACCGTTGTCGTTGAACCACTGTTCTCGCTTTAAAAAACTATCCCTGGTATGAAGTAGCCCAATCTCTAATACAAGTCTCGAGTATAGAATTCCCAGCTTAGAAATCAGATTTCAGAAATCCGATTATACAAAATAAAGTCCCATAGAGATCATACAAAACACGTGACGAGTTAAGAGTTCATATCTCAGAGATCAGAAATCCGATCATACAAAAAAGTCCCAGAGAGAACCAACAGAATATAGTCCCACAATTTATAGTCAAGTTAAATCGAGTGATTCATCATATTTACCCTATCAGTAGTGTCTCAAATGCAGCGGTGGATCTAGGGTTTTCTAGAGGGACGGGGGCGGTTTTTCAAAAAAAATTCGAAAATTTTAACGACTTTTTTTTAGGTTGACCAACTTGATTTTGCGAGCGCTCTCAAAAGTCTATAAAAACCTTATTTTGCCAAAAGTTTTAGGCCAAAAAAGATGTTTTTAGGCACTTTTTGGAAAAATTTTACCATAAAAACGCGTTTTTTCGCAGCGCGCTTCCCTTGAAAATTAGTATATATTGGCGCCGAAGGTTGGTCAGCCCAAAATGGATGTCATAAAATAATACCAAAATGGTGGGTGAACGGTCGAATCCCTGAGAGGGAAGGGTACGTCTGCCCCCTTCTAAATCCACCCTCGTTCAAATGATATTGCTAAATTATCAAAAATTTCTCTCAACGTTTTGAGAAAAACAGGCTCGCAATTTTTAGTCTTAGATAACTCCTTCGAGCGAGTAATTACTCGAGTGATACGCTATAATACAGCTTTTTTCAGTCGTAATCGAATCAACTTTCTTGAAAATTTCCTGGTGTCAAGAAATAAAGTTCTAAAAATTAGGTTTCGAAATGCATTTAGGTTGAAGAGCATGAAATTGCGTCGCTTTTTATTTCGATGAAAGCTACTCTGTTATCTATTCGTGAAAATTGTTTAATCACTTTGAGTATAATTAACAACGCAATTAGCCAAACCCCCCCTTCCGTAATAAATGTTGAAACTGTTTTTTGTTGAAATAATTTGTAACAATTATAATTTTTTTAGCGACAAGCTCCCTAATAAAAACTGTTAAACTTTTTAGTTCTTGTAAAGCCATCAGCTCCACGTGGCTTTTTCTCTTATCTCTAACCCTTTTTCTGAAAAGCTGAAAACTGTTTATTTGAATTCAAATAGTTGCATCACATCAGCTTGTAAACCAAGATCGTAATATGAACCAATGCACTCTTCAGAAGGCCTTTGAGCCAGAGAGTCCAGAATAATACATTCAGCAAATAGAAATGACATTTAATATTTACAGTCCTAGATAGTGATTGCAAGTGAATTAGTTATTTCCAATTGTGAACTTATTTATTCTTTTTATTAGGCTGGTCTTTGACGCTGACGTGTCGTTGCCGTGTCGTGGTCGTGTCGTGGTTGTTTTCGATGTCGTTGTTTAGAGTTTTTTTTATTTCTTCGTCTACTGCAGCTGAGCTTTCTTAGCTGGAAATCTGTCCCAACTGTTTTGTGAGTGCCACGCATGGTAGATTGCATTCGAATCCCCCTGCAAGTACACCATGCTGTTCGGAGACCACGACTCCCGACAGTATCCGGCCGAGAAGTACTCGTCACTTCCGACACAGTGTTGTTGTGGGGGACAGATGCAGTTGAATGAGCTGGCATAGGGTTCCAGACAGGTGTCCGAGGGACCCTCGCAGAAACGGTCGAAGTCCTTGTCGAACTGAGTCAGCATGAAGGCTGAAGATAACCTAATAAAAAATGGTTCATTGTTTTTGTGCAGAAAAAATAATTTGTTTTCTACAAAAAAATTGCCTTGTTTTGATTTGTTTTTGTGTATTAACTTATCTATAATAAGCACCGATGCGTTTGTTGTATTTTGCTAGCTTTAAAGGTTTTTGTTTGTTCGAAAACTTTCACAAGATTCAAATTGAAATGAAATTACATCTGCTGGGAGTAAATTGCGTTTGACTCATTCTTTTTTTATATTGAACTCATTGAAAGCTAAAAATAACATCAAAGCTTCCGTGGAAAAGGAAAATGAGAAAGATCTCTAGATTCGGGTGCATTTTTCACGCAAAAGGCATGTATCCGCAACGAGAATGATATATCAGATTAAAATTGTCCCGCCATGATTACTACGTGGCAATCTAAATTTGTAATATTGTAGAGAAGAAAACGATAAAAAAAATTTCACAAAACCGACTTGCACATCCATAAAAATTATACAAAAATGATTCTTATCCAGGGGCGGATTTAGGGAAGGGGGCGGGAGGGGGGGGGGGTGGACGCTTCCTTTCCCTCAGGCATTCGATCCCCTGCCGACCCAAAGGGTCCCGCTTTGTACTATTTTGAGATATCCATTTTTGGTGACGGACCCTAAAAATGTTCTAAAGGCGCCTTTGGCGCCAATATACACTAGTTTTGAGGCGGGATGCGGTCGAATATTTCCAAAAAGGGCTTAAAAACTCCTTTTTTTGGCCCGTTTTTTCAAAAATTTTTCTGCAGAAATTTTGGCCAAAACTAAGTCTTTGTAGTGCTTTCGGAGAGCACAAAAAATCATTTTGGTCGACCTAAAAAAAGGTCAGCAAAATTTTCAATTTTTTTTAGAAAATCCGCCCCCCCCCCTCGAGCAAAACCTAGCTCCGCGCCTGTTCTTGTCTATATGAATTTAGTAAAAAACTTATTAAAAATCCTTTATAACATTTAAGGCTTTTAGATTAGGGAAAACTGGAAAACCCCAAAGGGTAAAAGGAAGACTTCATTATAAATGTTTTTTTTTTGCATTTGGTTTTACGATCATCCTCCCCTCCCCACCCCCCCCCCCCCTTGTTCTTACTCAAGAATATCCATCCCATCTGAATGACAAAACCGACGATTAAGTATCTGCTAATTGTGTGCCTAGTTGTGAGTTTAAAAGATCCGTTTTTGATAACTCAGTGAAATTAGTTATTCACAACTTACGAGATGACACAAGCGAAGACCATCAACAGTGACATTGGCAGGAAGACAACAACTTTCGACATCTTTGATTGAGAAGAAAAAACGATAATTTTTGTCAAACTTCTGTTGGATATAGTCGACAGTTTCTGACAGATGACGTTGATTTTGATTTCAAATATTCGTAAATATATTTGATTTATTCAAATTATTATGTTGCGTATAATCTTGCTGACGCGCCAATTTTGAGCTTGCCGGTATCAAGTAAAAGCTCCTGTAATCACTTTTCCGTGATAGAGGTTAGTTCGGTATCCTGGGAAATAAACGAAATATGAATTTTGAATCCTGTTTTAATTTGCTTCTTGTAATTTAAGCCTCTCGTTATTTGGTTTTTCTGGTTCGACTCAACTTATAATGATGTCTTCTTTTTAACCAGGAAATATGTCGTCAAATTGAAAGAAATATGCAGATTGTCCTAGCACCAAATTAGAAATAAGAGCAGAAAAACGAACAAATTACCGGGATAAATTTGACTTTTTATCCTTAATTCGAATACTTATATTGAACAAAATTATGGCAACAAATTCTGTCTGATTAGGGTGACTTTCTTTTTAATAGTAACTCTTCTCCTAAAATAGTTTAGAAGTAGATGAAACGGTTGTAAAAACGGTCATGTGCCTATTTGAAAATATAGTGCAGTTTAGTTGAACATGTGAAAAAGTAGTTGAAATTTGAGTGCTGATGGTAATTGGCTCTCTATTGTAATGTGATTACATTTGTGGCTATGTCAAATGGTACCTGCGGAAATGCTGAACCAAAATTTCCAAACGTGGTATATTTCCATGGGAGACTGAAGAAAAAACGGGAATCTGAAGTATTGTGATTTATCATTCATCCAAAAAGTTCCAGAAAAAGAAAGTTTGCAAAAAACAGGTTTGTCGGCCTTTTTGGTAGGCTGATCAAATTAATTTTCAGAGCGCTCAGGAGATGATAAAGGCCACATTTTGCCAAAGATTTTTGCGCCGCAAGCAAACGTGATTTAAAAAAAAGGTCTAAAAATGGCGTTTTTGTTGTTGTCCGCTCCCCTCAAAATTAGTATATATTGGCTCCAAAAGCGGCTTTAGAAAATATTTATTTTTCCTGCGACGATTTTTCGAGATAATTAAGAGGTTTGCAAGCCGCGTTTTCTTTCATTTTTTAAAATATTGTTTGGCAATTTTTCTTAGTTCTTATGCTTTTCTGAATAAATCTGCAGCTGATATGCACATATATTATAACAAGACTGTTCGTGTCAAGACGAATTCCTGAATGTTTCGAATGCCTTTTAAGGTTTATGGAGCAGTAAAAACATTTTAAATAATTTAAAAAAAATAAAATAAAATTTTTTTTTCTAAAATTTGAACTTTTTCTTTTGAAAATCATCCACCCATACGCCATATAAAGTACAAAAGAATAGATTTTGCTCCTTGTAACAAATCAATTATGTTTCTTTCAACCAATTTGGAATGATTTCTAAGACGGATTAAATCTCCGCTTACGCATTAATAGCGCGAAATATATCGCGCGTTAATTGTCCCAAAATGGTCAAAATGGCAATCTTTAAACCCTCTTAACTTTACGAAAAATGATCACAGGTAAAATATCTTTTCAAATTTAAGCTCAGGACAACAATACCTTTTGAATGATATAAAAAAATTCCGTCAAAAATGGCTAGTTAAAAAGTCGAAATTTGTCTGAAGAAAAAAAAACCCCTCCGTTAGTTTCGTATCGAAAGTCGGAACAATAAAACATTAGAGTGGAGAAAATAGTTCAGTAAATTTATTTTGACATATCTAATCCAACTTAGCATGATAGATAATCTGCTTTGTGTAAGGGTTTAAATGCAAATTTTTCAAAACTAACAATTTTTCAAAATGATTGTGAACAAATTAAAACGTTGGTTGCCATAAATGAAAAAATTCAACCTGAGTTCCAGATCAGTGGGCGTTTTTTATTACACCCAATGAGCAGTTCCAAATTTCTGAACATTTTCTATTCAAATCATTTTTCGTTTCTCAACAAAGATGAATGAATTATAGTTTTTTATTTAATTACATTTTTTTTGTTTAATATTTGAAATTGGACTTCGATATTCTATGAGACGCTCGAGCATTATTGGTAAAACCATTGAAATTATTCGACAAAAATGTCAGTTCATTACAAATAAAAATTGACAACAGGTAGCATGAAACAAAAGAGGTTTTTAAAAACAAATTGCAGACTGAAAAAATCCAAATAACGGCAGTTGGATGAAGACATGTTTAGTTTTGTTGCCGCCATTTGGTTCCGTATTTTCATTTACTTTCTGGAATGAAGTTTTCGGGATGTTTCAAATTATGACACTTTTGAGCAAGCAAAACTAACGATGAAAATAACGGGCCTCATTACATATAATGGAAAGTATATTACCTCCAACAGCATAAATTTTCAAATTTTCTCTCCTTTGGATGTCAACGAATTAATTCTGGGGGATCTAGCTGGTTGAGCGGGGGTCTAACCAGATAGATGCCCCAGAATTAATTTGTTGACATCCATAAAAGAGGAAATCCTATCATTCAGCTTCATAAATACAATTAAGGAAAAAAGCGTATCATTCGATCAGCACAGAAGAAATTTGTATAATAAGTACTTTCAGAAATCATCTCAAATTGGTTTAAAACTCAATTAAAAGACATATGTGGCAATTTTAAATATATGAGAGAAGTTTTGTTGTCAAAAAAAATTTCTTTGAATGAAAAGCTTAACATTTACTTCCAAGAATGAAGTTGACTTTTATGCATTTTTTCAAAGAAAAATGAAAAAAGTAAAGTTTTTGTCTCTGTTCGATTGCAAATTTGCTTCTATGCTCAAATAAACATCAGGCGGGAAAAAAATGTGCGTGCTAAAATTGATACTTTGGGTCAAAACTGGAGTCCAGGCTGTTATGCATTATATTATGCATTATAAATCTCAAATTTAATACATGCACTAAACTCAAAAATACCACCTTTTTGAGTTAGAACCTATGTGGTTAACTCAGAGAGTAATTTCGGATAGGGTACACCGTCTGCTCGTCACGCTATCTTATTTTCGGCCGGATAGATTCGTGCAACTTCTTAGTCTAATACCGATCCTAATCTTACTCTTATACTTTCTAGTCTCAGGGTGTTTAACTAGTCTCTGCTAGGCTCAATAGATCTAGGGTATACTGGTTTGTTGCGGCTACTGAAGTTCTCTTGGAGAGGCAACTAATTTCTAAGTTAAATTCAAATCTCTCTGGTGCTGAAATTACAAGTAATTTCAGCACTTACAAATAAGTGGGTTGTTAGTTAGATGGATCATGATTGGTTAATATTAAATACTTTACAGTGGTAAAATATCTAATTTATCCAATCATAAAATGTAGTTTGGATCAGGTTCCACCCATCCGGGTTTTACAGAGTTTTTTAGAATTATCTTTCTGCAATTCAAAGGATGGACGATGAACGTTGGTATTGGGCGAACATCGTATTCTTGTCCGGTTTCTCTTGTTAGAGAAGTTCCAGGACGCTGGAGTTTGGGGCATTGATCGATGTGTCCTCTTGTGACAACGACTGTGTTTCCCAACGAAATCAATCTGATTTCAAAATGGTTTGCTATGACGGGTTTTTCTGTATTATGTAGAGAACTTGTTTTGTGTTCAACCTCGTCTGGGAATGGCGTGGAGATTTTGCGTGGAGGGGATGCCTTGTAACTCGGATCTGTACGTATACTTGAACATCGAGGTGGTCATTGGTCTAGTTCAATGAAGTCCTTTTCTGCGAAGTCGAGTCGTACTCTAAATCCTTTGAGTTGTGATTGTGGACGGCATATCGGTTGTGGTTAGCCATTCTTGTTCGAGTGTAGTGGGGTCATTTTGTCTTTAGATGTTAGTCTTTGTTGTTGTGTGCTGATCTATATACTGCAAGGTATGATTTCCATTTTATAAAATTTTTATTAGTTCAGTTTTTAATTATGAATTTAGTTAGTTGTTTTCACAAAAGCATTTTGTTTTAGTTCGGTTATTTTGAAGAGTTACTCACCCTTGAGTACCTCTTTATTAAAAATAGAAGTATGGTCACAAAGCGTGGATGTAGCGCGGTGGGTTAGGTCGGCTATAGAGCATGCTCAGGACGTCCTCTCTGGTGGGTTAGGCCAGGAGTGGGAGTATGATTTTGTGCGGTTTCTTTGAGAGGTCCTGTTATGTGATAACGTTTTATGTTGGTTTTATGTTGGTCTTTCTTATGTTCCTTTGGTTGTGTCCTTTTTTCAAAAATCAAATTGTTTTTGCTATGGGTTTGTCTTTCGACTTTTTTGTGTTTTATTATTTCTTTCTTAGACTTTATAATAGTCTTCAAAAGAATAAATTATCCAGTTTTAAACTGGGTTAATCCGGTTTGGGTACCGTTGGTTTTCTTTTCTTAGTCATGCTGTAATTTTATGATTTGTGGTGTTTAGTAAGCTGCGTTGGTTAGTTTGTTTTAGTATATAATTCCTTTCCAACCGGGTTAAAGGAAAGTTTGAAACTTGTTATCTTGTGTTAGAGTTGTTGAGTGTGAAAACTTGAAACTGAAATTCATTATTTAGACAATTCTTCGTGGGCGAGCTGTGCGAGTTTGGATAGAATTCTTGTGCGAGTGAATGAAAATATCAAAAGGTTAGTACTGCATTTTTATTTCATTAATTTATTACATAGAATTTCAATTTTACTGCTAGTTTTGGGGGAAATTTAAAGTTATAAATTTTCATCATATTTAAATTTACTGCTTTATGGGTGAATAATTTATAAATTAATTTACTACATTTGGTATAAATTTTATCAGATTATTTTGTGGAGAATATTAATGAAGTTTTAGAATAATTTTAACAAGTTTTTATTTTTTATTTTTCTTTTCTGTTTTTTGCAGATGATCGTGGTATGAAGACTAAAAATCTAAAAGAAACATAAGTAAAAAATGGTTAGTATTAATTTCAATTTATTAGTAAAGAATATTTGAAATTATACTTACCTGTTAATCGTCTGGGAAAAAACCGTGAGGGAAGATGTCGTGTATCATGTCGGAATTTGTTAGTAACTTTGCTAGTATGCGAATGATGTTTTTAGTTTGAAGCAGTGGCCAAAGCAATTGAAGTGCTTTAATAGTTTTTAGTTCTTCGGTGCCTACTGCAAACTCATAAGGTGTGTTTTGAATGATATTATATATTTTGTGATTGTATTTAGTTTTGTGAATAAATTCTCATATAGGGATTTCTATAGGTTGGATAAATTCATGTGGGATAAGGAAGGGTCTGGATTCTTCAGCATTAAAGGTCTTCGTGATGGGACAAAATATATACATTTGTGTTATTGGGTCATAATTGCGGAGGATGCCGTGGAGGTTAGTATCTTTGATGCAATAGGTGAAATTTAGAAAAAATGGTGAAATGTACTTCGAGTTAAGAAACTGAAAACGATGGTGTGGTTGTCTTGATGGAGTATGTAGATCAAAATGATTTTGTATGAAGCGATAGTATGTATATGTGTGAGTTTGTTTAGTGCGTAACATAATGTCATGTGAGCAGTGCAAATTGCGTTCATGTGGTGCAAGGAAGTGAAAGGTTAGTGAAAATAATTGAAATTTTTCTTTAAAACTTTCGTAAGCTTGCATATCAGTTAGTGCTTCAGAAATGATGTGATCATATTTTCTATCAAAAATATTGA